CAGGAGCAATCAAACTTTTGCGGCCCAAGTCCCTGTACCCATTATGTACCACTAATTACCCACGAAATCGTAATGACAACGCTTACGAAATAAACTATGGTATTGGGCATAGATTGAACATCGCGCTAGTGAGTCGGAAAAACTTTTAGGAAATCGACGCTTTAAGCCACATGGACCAGCTGGCTAACAATAAATTCATCCAACTGGGTAGCATTTATACTCCATATGAAGATACATAGGCAACCGCTGTGACGAGCTCTAACCTTGAGTCCCTCTCAAAGCCGACATCAATCTATGTCATTACGACTTTATTCGTGAGTCATGAGTTCAATCTGTATAACTTGTATTGGTGGTCACAGTGGTGGCCTATGCTCACCATTCCATATTGTGTATAAATATATACGTAGTTGGATGAATCTTATTGTAGCCCAGTGGCGCAAGTGGCTAACGAGTCAGTCATGGAGTTTCAGACTCACTACCGATAATTCCGAACGCTAACCCTTAACTGTGGTTTATGTGCCTTATCTTTTGACAATACCACCCCCCGGATGGGTATGGGGTATATAATAAATATGTTTAACTAAACTTCACCACCGGCACCTACCTGCTAGAAGCCTCATTCCAGGAACTCGAGCCATCATCTCTATCACACGAAATTACTGAAGCCATCGCCACCAGTTTCCCAGAAGAAAAAGGGTTAAATGAGTGCTAGAGAAAATCAAAGTTGATGAGGCGTCCCCAGCCCTTGGCTGAAAATCTGTGCGTCAAACACCACAACCCTTAAATAGACACTCACCATGTAGTTCAAGGATACCATGCACTGTACAGTAAAATTTGCCTGCCGCCCATCATGTACATATTCTCAACTAACCATATATCTTGATTTGTTAAAAGACAGCTCATGACAACGCCATTCCTTCCTATACTACTTACCACACAAAAGTCCTCATAAGAACTAGAACGGATTCTCAAGCCTTGAATCTCACCATAATGTTCCAGGTCAAAACCGCTGAAAACACCCTCCCCGAGTTCCAGTGCCCTGCCTGTTATCCCCAGCACCCAGCAGCCTAATCTGGTGTTAGCCCTCGTCTCTCGCCGTAGAGCATTCTTGTCAACGACGTTACACACTGTAGTCCGTTGCTATACTAGTCTGTTTAAGCACTTACCCTCACTCCCTACCTGAGAGTCAGTGTAGTTCGTTCGTTGTGACATATACACATATTATTAATACCTCAAAGCTTTTGAGGACACCGCATTTCACATTGTCCTCTACGAGCATAATTGAACTTGATGACTAAGAAAACGGAGTATTAAAGAAAGAATTACAATACACTTTTAGGTTGTCCCTCGAAACAAAAAGTTTCAAAACCCTGTTATGAAAAATCTAGCAAACGATAGGTGAATGGAAAAGTAGAATGTATTAGACAGGAACAGAGCTCAGATCGATTGCAAATCATAATAAAATAGTGTTGTCACGTAAAACATGGCTACGGAGAAATTAAGACGAGGTCACAGAACCTAGAATACAAGACGGTTTCATCGACATTTCATCACTGTTGACTAAGAGCAAGGTGTCTATGGCAGTACAGTTTGTATGGAGATGTCACTGACAAGAAATGTAGTGGAAACAAAGAGCCATACTTTATATCCCAGTGCCCAAAAAAAATCCAGCATGAAAAGAATCATTCATCATTTAGCCCAACAAACCCCTACAAGATATAGTGAAATCAGTTTAATTTTTAACATCAGAAATCCTCCCTCATGTTGTCTTTATATTATATTAGTTTATATCGCCAAAATGAACTGTTATTTGATGAGATAACACAATAATGAGCAGTTTTTAATAATGAAAAAGATACTTGAATTTTCCTGAGATTGTATTTCCATATTGCAGTGTGTAGATTAGCTATTTATGGAGTTATATCAGATACAGTGTGTGAAGGGCAGATGAAGATTGTTAAGGACAGATACTAGTGGTGAAGGACAATACAGTGTGGGAAACTACTGTCAAAATATTTCCAGAAATTCCAGTATTTATAGGTATATAGATGCATAACTGAATTTAATAACATTTATGTCATAGGAAAAATGGGAAAAACTGAGCCTGGAGAGAAGGGAGAATCGCCATTGTTAATTTGAATTGGATACAACGTTAGTGTAATGGGAAGGAATTTTCGTGCTCTCGAGGTTAAAACTGTGCTTGACACCTCTCAAATATAGTAGGCGAAAATTTTGGGTGTTGCATTCCTGCATATAACTTAGATATCAGCGACAGGACAGGACAACTCGAACCTCAGATAAGTCGTAAGTTATAACTGGCCAGATTGATTAATTTTCATGTAATAGACAGTGAGGTTGGGGAGTTCTGAGTATGAGGGAGCAGCGATTAATCTCCAGTGATATCATTGCGAGGTTGAGTTTTTTTTGGTACACATGTGATTATGACTCGACCGAACTGTTTATGAATAGGTGTTAAGTCTATTAAAAGGCATTTAGATGATTTTTTAATATTAGCACGAATACCTACAAATTACTAATTCATTTACCAGTATTCCTCTGGTGATTCATATTTCATTGGTAATTAATTAGGTCCATGACAAACTTGTGGATATGACAGACAGGTAGGTATACGGAAAGGGGGAAAGGACATTTTTAGGTTATCAAGTAACTAGGTGTCCCAAATTCCTACTTGTCCAACTGATAAATAATAATTATCTGTGTATATTTACTGTTATGTACATAATGATACATTCAGATAAATGCAATTTTCCACACAGAGTATGAAAGGCAGATATAAATTAAGGGGAAACACCAGACCCATAGGAGTCATATAGTACCTTGGGAAGGGGAGGACATCAAGTTCGATCTAGGAAGGTGTGAAATGTTATTATGTGAGCAAATTACAGCCAAGTAATTTGGGTGAGATAAGTGGGATTTTAGTCACAGTAGGTCACAGGACTGTCACTCCCTCGATGCCCACTTCATCACCACTCACACAGAAAGCTAGACCTGACATTAAATTAATGATTACAATATTAACACCAGCTACTCTGGTAAATTAAAGTTGTGTGAACTGTATGATTAGGCTTGCTGGATACACAAAAGAAATTCGTATTACCACTTACCCAACACCTGCCTGACACCTAGACCCTACACTGGTCAGTTAGAGATCTAAATGAAAGGACTAATGGCATACATCCCTGTGAGTGATGGTCATATCCCTTATCTTCTGCCATCCACACTTAATTCTTGACGTCCTGCAAATTTCCTGTCCCAATTCTTCAGCAGGGGACATTAATATGGGTTCCTATTACAAATTCAGGCCGAATTATTATTATTATTATAATCAAAAAGAAGCGCTAAGCCACAAGGGCTATACAGCACTGCAGGGTAGGGAAGGAAGCGAGGGTATTGGATGGCAGAAGGGAGGAGGGATGATCAGCAGGTTACAGAAAATAGTGGGGCAGGAAATAGTACGGGGGTAGAGGGTAGCAAGAGATTGAAGTAGAAAGGGCTGAAGGTATCAGAATTTGTGAAGTCAGTTGTTGTCAAAAAGTCATTGAGAGAGTCCGGATGAAAGGTGGGTCCATCAGCGAGAAGGGAAGGTAAAGAGAGAGTAGCGGAGCGAAGACAATGACAGAGGTAAATTCTGCGTGCTCATTGATAAAGTGGGCAGTCCAACAGAATGTGGCTGACTGATAATGGAGCTTGGCAATTCTCACAGAGAGGAGCAGGACGCCTCTCCATGAGATATCCATGAGTAAGACGAGTATGGCCAATGCGAAGACGGGAGAGAATAGTCTCCCAACCTCAACACTGGTGATAAGAAGACGGCCAGTAACCTATACTCGGTTTAATAGATTGAAGTTTGTTGCCGAGCATAGTAGACCAACGTTGTTGCCAACAGGTGTGAAGGTGGGAAGATATTGCAGCAAAATAGTCCGTAAATGGAATACCTCTATAAGAAACTGGTAGGTCATGTACTGCTGACTGCACAGCAGTGTCTGCCTGTTCATTGCCCTGTACGTCAACATGACCAGGGACCCAACAAAAAACAATATCTTTATGCTTGGTAAAGATGCGGCGTAGCCAAAGTTGGATACGGAGGACTAACGGGTGAGGTGTATCAAATTTTTGTATAGCCTGTAAAGCACTAAGGGAGTCTGAGACAACCACAAATAATGACACAGGCATACATGCAATACGGATAAGTGCTGTAAGGATGGCATACAATTCAGCAGTAAAAATACTAGCCGAAGATAGTAAATGCCCTTGTACGACGCTGTCCGGAAACACTGCTGTGAATCCTACGCCGTCAGAAGACTTAGAGCCATCTGTGTACACGGCAATGGCATGAGAATGAGAGTGAAAGTGGTCAAGAAAAAGAGAGCGGGAAGCGACCATAGAGAGTTGGGCTTTCGAGCAAGGGAGGGAGAAAGAACAGACTCGAACAGCTGAATTTAGGCCGAAAAAACCTAATTTGGCTGTGAAGACCAGATTATTAGCTGAATTTTCCACGACAACCAGTGCTCACAAATTACAATCGGCGTGTCCCTTCCGGCGTCACTACTAGCTGTTCTACACCCCCCTCACTTGAAATTTCTCGAAAGGGTCAAATCAGCATCATATTCTATTTCACAATTATTGTATTATACAAATTTACACATGCTGAATTTAGGAAAATCCAAAAATTTACACAGAAAAGGACAGGTCCAATTCCTTGAATCAAGAGCCCTTAGCAGCTTCAGGCACTCTCCATGAGAGGCCTGGCAGATACAGTGTGACTGGTAGCAACAATGCGAAGGGCAGATATACAATGTGAATGAGTGTGAATGGCAGACATAAGGTTCTAATAAACAAACAAAAAATACACAGTTGTCTCCTATCGTACTCGCTGTTGTACCTTGAGTGTACTTATGTATATTTATATTGCTGAGAGCGCAGAGTTATCTCATATGTTAAAGTACTCTTTAAAGATTTAAACTTTTTTTCCCCAATAGCTATGCTCAGAGAGTGGGTGAACCTGGCCGTGAAAGTCGCGGACGTCATGTTGGATCTCTTTGCCATCTGTAGCATCTACATGGTGAGTTTATATTTTTCTAGGAGTGGCCTAATTTCCACAATGACATTATCCACACAACTAGTGCCCACTTCTAATATGTCATCATTACTAACATCTAGTGAGTTCCCTACCACCCAGGTGACTCATCCACACCAGTACAACTGTGAAGGCTGGAGTTTTGAGACTCTATGACCGCGGGTTCAATCCCGGCTGGGGGTATGGTTTGTTTGCAATAGTGTCATTACGATTTCTTGAGTCATGTTGACGGCAGTGAAGGGACTTGAGCTAGAGTTTGTCACGGCCACGCTAGCTGGAGATTCGTCTGTAAAAACTTGCATTTGTGGTCGCAGTGGTGCCTGTGCTAACTTTCCTATGGTGTAGAAATATACCTAGTTGGATGAATCTTATTGTGGCTAGCTGGTCTAGTGGCTAACGCGACGGGCTGGAGTTTTGAGACTCTATGACCGCGGGTTCAATCCCGGCTGGGGGTATGGTTTGTTTGCAATCGTGTCATTACGATTTCTTGAGTCATGTTGACGGCAGTGAAGGGACTTGAGCTAGAGTTCGTCACGGCCATGCTAGCTGGAGATTCGTCTGTAAAAAACTTGCATTTGTGGTCACAGTGGTGCCTGTGCTAACTTTCCTATGGTGTAGAAATATACCTAGTTGGATGAATCTTATTGTGGCTAGCTGGTCTAGTGGCTAACGCGATGGGCTGGAGTTTTGAGACTCTATGACCGCGGGTTCAATCCCGGCTGGGGGTATGGTTTGTTTGCAATCATGTCATTACGATTTCTTGAGTCATGTTGACGGCAGTGAAGGGACTTGAGCTAGAGTTCATCACGGCCACGCTAGCTGGAGATTCGTCTGTAAAAACTTGCATTTGTGGTCACAGTGGTGCCTGTGCTAACTTTCCTATGGTGTAGAAATATACCTAGTTGGATGAATCTTATTGTGGCTACCTGGTCTAGTGGCTAACGTGACGGGCTGGAGTTTTGAGACTCTATGACCGCGGGTTCAATCCCGGCTGGGGGTATGGTTTGTTTGCAGTCGTGTCATTACGATTTCTTGAGTCACGTATTACGAAGGCTGGCTCCTCCTCAGGAAAATTAATGAATAGAAAAAGAAATAATAACAGACAATGATAAACACTTTATTATTTAGAAACGGAAAATGTAAAACAATAAAACATGAATGGGTATCCTAACTGAAAGAAAAATGAAAAATGAAATGAAAAAAAGTTACATTTGAACTCAACGCTAATATAGGTATATCGTGGTAATGGGGTGTCATGTGTTGGTGACACTGCATGTTGTTGAAATTGTAGCCGTTGCTGGTGTGGGGGGGGGTTAGCAGGTGTTGGTGCCCACCACCAGCTCGTTCTTCACAGAGTATAGCCGTGAATAATTTCTTCAGATGATAGGAAAATAGGTTCGTTACCACTGCTATGATGAGGGGTTAGGTCCTGTGTTGGCTTACATAACAGGTAAGTAGATTAAACATGGGACGTCTCAGGACGTTAGTCCGTCTCCTTCTATTCTACTCGTTGGTTGGCAGGTGACCCACTCTGTCATTCCAAGCTGTAAAGAGAGACAGATTACCCACTGCTTAAGAAATCACTCTCCATGATAAGTACAATACCTAAAAGATATGGTGATTATTAAAACATTTAACAGATAAAGACTGAAAGGACTAAGTTAATTATTGGTCAAAAGTGAAGCTTTCAACCAATAAGTCCACTAAAATGTGATCTGGCGTGTACTTACAGTAGTGCTGGGAGCTGTGAGTCGAGTGATTTACTGTTTGACTGGAGCCCCACACGTCACCTTTCGGGGGGGGGGGGGGAAAGGATAGCGGGAGCTAGACTGACCCTACCTTAACAAGCAGCCGGCAATCAAACTATCACTTTCGGGGAGGGGGAAAAAAGGGGGGGGGAATAGCAGGAGCTGGACTTACCCTACCTTAACAAGTAGCCGGCAATGAAACTACAGTATTGTTACAATATACTCCCTCGCTACTCCTATCTATTGAACTTTTCCCTCACAACAACCTAAATTCTCTTAGTGGGACAAACTTTCAACACAACATGTTCCTGGTGTGAGCTTGTGACACATGGTCTTCTGTGTGTGGCAATTCTATTGTGTGCTTCTGTAATCTCCAGACCACCGCTCATAAGGTGGATATGGAGCAGATAATGGTATGTGATGCATAATAAAGCTTTGAAATTCAAAACATGACCAATATACTCAACACAATCTACCCACAACAGGAGCACGAGTTTCTGACAACGTCCATCATGGTTATGATGAATCTCAACACCTTCGGCAACCTCTTCGTGACCCTCGAAATGTACAGTGACGACATCTTCGCAGTAAAATTAATGGGATTTTCGCTTTTTCTAAAGTCCTGGATAATGATCTGCATACTTGAACCGCTTGGCTTATAAAGAGTAGGCGCCTCTCGGCCCCTGTGTTTCATAAAAGGATGTAACAACACTGCTGATACAATAGCAATAAAACCAATCTAAAGGTCTCCAGCATTAAAACTCGGTATATTTGTAAACTTATTTGAAGGTAGATTTATGGTGTCATCCCATATGCAGTGAAAATCAAACCAATAAATGTCGATCACTTGAGGAAAATTCATTTAACACTAAGGTACACAAACATGGATGAAACTTGTATGCGTAGTGTTACTAAAACCTCTAGTTTGCTAAATTATTTTCATTATTTTAAAGCACGTACTTTTACAGATTCATTTAGAACGATTAGTTTGTTTGGTCTTACTACTTTGGTTCCAGAATAAAATTCCAGCTCCTGAACCAGTGTTTATTTTTTTATTTTAGTATAAAGGAAGAACTTTTAATAAGCAAGTTTTTTTTTTTTCCATCAGTGTGTAAACTTGGTAGTATACAGTATATCTGTCTGGCAACAACATAAAAAAAATGCAACTCATAACAAACCTTTGTTTTCATTGTGTCCTGGGTGTTGAGTCTTAGGCTCATAGCAATGGTGTGAGGTGTTGCAGACTCAACCCCACATTCATTTATATGTCCATTTCATGATTTTTTTTTAATAAAGTTATTAGTGCCAGGACGCCTTTCATTCTCCTAGGCCTTAGACAGGGATGTATGTCACCATGGTTGTTCAATTTATTTATAGATGGGGTTGTAAGAGAAGAGAATGCTCAGGTGCTGGCAAGAGGCGTGGGATTGGGGTAAAGGTGTCCAGTAGCTCGATCGCTAGTGCACTCAGCTCTCACACTGAGGTTCGGGGTTTGAATCTTCTCCGGTACGGCTGAAAAACATTAGGGACGTTTTTCCGTAAGACACCTGCTGTCCCTGTTCACCCATCGTATACAATGGGTACCTGGGTGTTAGTCGACTGGTGTGGGTCGCATCCTGGGACAAAACTGACCTAATTTGCCCGAAATGCTCACCAAAACAAGTGGCTTTCTATATAGAAGTATGTCATTGATGTCAGCTAGGCCTGTATGCCATGTACTTGTAGTAAATAAAGATATTATATTATATAAAGAATCTAACAACGTGGAAGTTGTCACAGATGCTTTTTGCTGATGACACTGTGCTCTTGGAAGATTCTGAAGAGAAGTTGCAGAGGTTGGTGGAGGGAAATTATAAGTGAACATAGGAAAGAGTAAGGTAATAAGGATAACAAAAAAAAAATTAGCTAACGAAAGACTGGATATCAGATTGGAGGGAGAGAGTATGAAGGAAGTGAATGTATTCAGATATTTGGGAGTAGATTTGTCAACTGATGGGTCCATAAAAGACGAGGTAAATCATATAACTCATAAGAACATAAGAACGAAGGAACACTGCAGAAGGCCTACTGGCCCATGCGAGGCAGGTCCAAGTCTCCTACCGGCTTAAGCCAATGCACCCAACCTAGTCAGGTCAGGTCACATTGACTTAAGGGGGAAAAAGGCCGAGTTGTGCACTGAGAAGTCTGTGGAAACAAAGGACAGTATCCATGGAAGCAGAGGTCCAGGTATGAGAGTATAGTTATACCAGCACTCTTATACGGGTGTGAAGCATGAGTGGTGAATGTCGGAACAAGGAGGTTAGAGGCAGTGGAGATGTCTTGTTTGAGGGCAATGTGCGGTGTGAATATAATGTACACAATCCATAGTTTGGAAATTAGGAGGTGCGGGGTTACTTAAAGTATTATCCAGAGGGCTGAGGAGGGGTTGTTTACCTGAAGAGGGTTTCGGGGGTCAACGCCTCAGCGGCTCGGTCTGAGACCAGGCCTCGTGGTGGATCAGGGTCTGATCAATGAGGCTGTTACTGCTGGCCAAAGGCAAACTGACGTACAAACCACAGCCCGGTTTGGTGAGGTACTGACTTTAGATGCCTGTCCAGTGCCTTCTTGAAGACAGCCAGGGGTCTATTGGTAATCCCCCTTATGTATGCTGGGAGGCAGTTGAACAGTCTTGGGCCCTGAACACTTATTATGTTGTCTCTCAGTGTACTCGTGATGCCCCTGCTTTTCATTGGGGGAAATGTTGAAATGGTTCGGACATTTAGAGAGGGTGGAATAAAATAGAATGACTTGGAGAGTGTATAAATCTGTAGTGAAAGGAAGGCAGGGTAGGGTCAGCCTAGGCAAGGATGGAGGGAGGGGGTAAAGGAGACTTTGTGTGTGAGGGGCTTGGACTACCAGCAAGCATGCTTGAGCGTCTTAGAGAGAAGCGAGTGGAGACAAAGGGTTTTTATGACTAAGTGCTGTTGGAGTGTGAGCAAAGTAACATTTATGAAACCGGCAAGAAGAACATGAGTCCTGGAGGTGGGAAATACAGTACCTGCGCTCTGAAGGAGGACTGTTGATATGTTGCAGTTTTTTAAAGTAGTGTAGGTGCGCCTCTGGCAAGGCAATGACGGAGTGAATGATGATGAAGGTGATTGTTCTTTTTGAGTCACCTTGCCTCGATATATATATATTATATATATAATATATATATATATATATATATATATATATATCACACTGGTGATTCCCACCAAGGCAGGGTGGCCCGAAAAAGAAAAACTTTCACCATCATTCACTCCATCACTGTCTTGCCAGAAGGGTGCTTTACACTACAGTTTTTAAACTGCAACATTAACACCCCTCCTTCAGAGTGCAGGCACTGTACTTCCCATCTCCAGGACTCAAGTCCGGCCTGCCGGTTTCCCTGAATCCCTTCATAAATGTTACTTTGCTCACACTCCAACAGCACGTCAAGTATTAAAAACACCATTTGTCTCCATTCACTCCTATCAAACACGCTCACGAATGCCTGCTGGAAGTCCAAGCCCCTCGCACACAAAACCTCCTTTACCCCCTCCCTCCAACCTTTCCTAGGCCGACCCCTACCCCGCCTTCCTTCCACTACAGACTGATACACTCTTGAAGTTATTCTGTTTCGCTCCATTCTTTTCCACATGTCCGAAACCACCTCAACAACCCTTCCTCAGCCCTCTGGACAACAGTTTTGGTAATCCCGCACCTCCTCCTAACTTCCAAACTACGAAATATATATATATATATATATATATATATATATATATATATATATATATATATATATATATATATATATATATATATATATATGTATGTATATACACGTGTATATGTGTATAATGTATATATATATATATATATATATATATATATATATAATATTATATATATTATATATATATATATATATATATATATATATAGTGAAGGGCTCTTGATCCACGAAATTAGAGCAACTCTTCCATTTTTTATATTCCTACAGGTTTCACGCTCTTCCATACATGTAAAAATATTCTTCCATTTCTGGGATGAAACGTTATTAGCTCTCATTAGCCACGCGTTATATAACCCACAAGTTTAGCGTTACCCCATGAATAATATATTATAACAACGCATAGCCCTTAATAACACAAAATAGTACACTCACCAGTCTGGTACTTTACACCAGTATGACCACGAGATTACTCAATAAAAAACATTATTTATGGTCACTGTGTTGTGACACCGTAGTGTAGGGCCATAGTGATCACCCTAGAGTAGGGCCATAGTGATCACCCTAGAGTAGGGCCATAGTGATCACCCTAGAGTAGGGCCATAGTGATCACCCTAGAGTAGGGCCATAGTGATCACCCTAGTGTAGGGCCATAGTGATCACCCTAGAGTAGGGCCATAGTGATCACCCTAGTGTAGGGCCATAGTGATCACCCTAGTGTAGGGCCATAGTGATCACCCTAGAGTAGGGCCATAGTGATCACCCTAGTGTAGGGGCATAGTGATTACCCTAGTGTAGAGCCATAGTGATCACCCTAGTGTAGGGGCATAGTGATTACCCTAGTGTAGAGCCATAGTGATCACCCTAGTGTAGGGCCATAGTGATTACCCTAGTGTAGAGCCATAGTGATCACCCTAGTGTAGGACCATAGTGATTACCCTAGTGTAGGACCATAGTGATCACCCTAGTAGAGCCAGTGATCGCCCTAGTGTAGGACCATAGTGATCACCCTAGTGTAGAGCCATAGTGATCACCCTAGTGTAGGGCCATAGTGATCACCCTAGTGTAGGGCCATAGTGATCACCCTAGTGTAGGACCATAGTGATCACCCTAGTAGGGGCATAGTGATCACTGTAGTGTAGGGCCATAGTGATCACTAGTATAGGGCCATAGTGATCACCCTAGCCAAGGGCCATAGTGATCACCCTAGTGTAGGGCCATAGTGATTACCTTATGTAGGGCCATAATGATCACCCTAGTAGGGCCATAGTGATCACCCTAGTGTAGGGCCATAGTGATCACCCTAGTAGAGCCAGTGATTGCCCTAGTGTAGGGCCATAGTGATTACCCTAGTGTAGAGCCATAGTGATCACCCTAGTGTAGGGCCATAGTGATCACCCTAGTGTAGGGCCATAGTGATCACCCTAGTGTAGGGCCATAGTGATCACCCTAGTAGGGGCATAGTGATCACAGTAGTGTAGGGCCATAGTGATCACCCTATGTAGAGCTATAGTGATCACCCTAGTGTAGGGCCATAATCACCCTAGTGTAGGGCCATAGTGATCACCCTAGTGCAGGGCCATAGTGATCACCCTAGTGCAGGGCCATAGTGATCACCCTATGTAGTGCCATAGTGATCACCCTATGTAGGGCCATAGTGATCACCCTAGTGTAGGTCCATAGTGATCACCCTAGTGAAGAGCCATAGTGATTATCCTAGTGTAGGGCCATAGTGATCACCCTAGTGTAGGGCCACAGTGATCACCCTACTGAAGGGCCATAGTGATTATCCTAGTGTAAGGACATAGTGATCGCCCTAGTGTAGGGCAAAAGTGATCACCCTATGTAGGGCCATAATGATCACCCTAGTGTAGGGCCACAGTGATCACTCGTGTAGGGTCATAGTGATCACCCTAGTAGGGCCATAGTTGCCCAATTGTAGGGCCATAGTTATCGCCCTAGTGTAGGGCCATAGTGATCACCCTAGTAGGGGCATAGTGATCACAGTGTAGGACCATAGTGATCACCCTATGTAGAGCTGTAGTGATCACCCTAGTGTAGGCCCATAATCACCCTAGTGTAGGGCCATAATCACCCTAGTGTAGGGCCATAATCACCTAGTGTAGGGCCATAATCACCCTAGTGTAGGGCCATAATCACCCTAGTGTAGGGCCATAGTGATCACCCTAGTGCAGGGCCATAGTGATCACCCTAGTGCAGGGCCATAGTGATCACCCTAGTGCAGGGCCATAGTGATCACCCTATGTAGTGCCATAGTGATCACCCTAGTGTAGGGCCATAGTGATCACCCTAGTGCAGGGCCATAGTGATCACCCTATGTAGGGTCATAGTGATCACCCTAGTGTAGGGCCATAGTGATCACCCTAGTGAAGTCATAGTGATTATCCTAGTGTAGGGCCATAGTGATCACCCTAGTGTAGGGCCACAGTGATCACCCTAGTGAAGGGTCATAGTGATTATCCTAGTGTAAGGACATAGTGGTCACCCTAGTGTAGGGCCAAAGTGATCACCCTATGTAGGGCCATAATGATCACCCTATGTAGGGCCATAATGATCACCCTAGTGTAGGGTCA